TCGAAGGAGGGTTGGTGCAGGATATTTGGATTACGAGTATTGAGAGTTCGGCTATCAAATTCGCCGCGAGTGATTTCCCCATTGTCACGAATGATTCTTGCAATACTGGTGGTGGTGGTGATGGGTTAGGAAGCAACAACAACAACAACAACAACAACGCCATCAATCCATCAACTGCCTCATTGCACACCTCAACGTCCGGCTTCTTTTCCGGTGCAGATAGGAAAAACGACGATGATGCTGGATCTGAACATCAGCAACAATTACAGCTACAAACCGATAATATAAACCCTTTCCACGTCTATGTCAACGGAGCCCCCTGGGCAACTGTTAGCATGGTCCCCGTTCCGCAGAATCCTGAGGAACCGTCGTTGGTTCGTTGGAGGGGGGAGATTTCTGGACTCGCGCCTGATTGTACATACAGTTGCAGTTTTGTCCGGAGGGATACCGGTGCGAGGATCTGCGTTATGAGTGTGAAGACGTCGAGGAAGTCGGAGAATGAAGGTGAGATCAAATATCCGATGATTAGTTCGTTTTTCATCTATTTGAATTGGTTAATATACTAACACCCCCCTTTTTTTTCCAACAGCATTCGCTTCTTCGAACAACAACTCCCCACGCCCATCACTCCGCCCTTCATCACCCCTGACCACCATGAAAGCCTCCGTCAGATCAATGGAGGAACAACTCGCCCAACGCAGACAGTACCTCCGCAAAGTCAAGGGCGACCAAAAGGCCACGATCTCACGTTTACGGAAAGAAGTCGAGAACTACGCTAACCGCCTCAAGAGCGCCAACGACGAGAACAAGCAACGTCAACGCACGATGCAACTCGAGCGCACCATCAAACAGACCGAAGAACAAATCCAGAACCTATCCCAGCGCGTCAAGGACTCCGAGAACGTCCCCGAACTCGAACGTGCGGAGTGGAAGAGAGCGCGGAATAGGTTCGAGTCTGAGATGGAGAGATTAGCTGAATTGCGCGCGGATCTGGAGAGATTTAGAAAAACTTCGAACGAGAAGATATCATCCGTTCAATCCGAGCTTACGAACACGGTCCAGAAGCGCGAACGTCTACAGGCGCGCACGGTGCGTTTGACGGAACAGCTTGAGCGCATCACAGTCGCGAACGAGAAGGGGATGAACGAGCGTGAACGTCGCGCGGCAGAGCAATTAGCGCGTGAACAAGAGCGAGCGAACATTGAAGCGAATTTCCTAGAGCAGATCACCTTACTGGCGAACTCGGTGCACGATTATCAGGGCCGGACAGCGAATCTTTGGTCGCAGGCTAATGCTATCGATCAGGCGTTTCAGGCACAGCAGCAGCAGTATTACCTGTTGCAGAACAACGTTAATGCAGCTGTAGCTGCTGCCGCTGCAGGTAACGCTGTTCCTGATTCCCTGGCTGAAGGACCGTTGCCTGGCACGAATACCGATCTCAGCGGGATCGCCGCAACGGCAACATCAGGTACCAACCGATCCGCACTCGCTGCGTTCTCCCCCTTTGGTCAGTCTGCCATGGGGAGCATGTCGCCTGCTATATCGTCAACGGCACTAGACCAGTTCCTACCACAGCACCATCTCCACCACCATCACCCGCAACACTCTCACTCCTCATTCCATCACCACACGCCTACTTCCGCAGCACCCTTCCACCAAACGCATTCCCTTACACCAACATTCAATTCAGCGATCGTGCAGTCTGCGTTTTCGCCCGCTGTTACTACGGCGGCTACAGCAGACGCGCATACACCCAGCGGCGCAAGTGGAAGCGGTGGCAGCACCGGCAGCGGAAGCAACAGCAATGTTAATGTCAACAGCAACAGCAATGTCAACAGCAACAGTAAACGACATAGGTCCCTATCTAATTTCTCCGGCAGGAGTATTCAGCTGGATAAGAACGGGACGCCGTATTTGGCTGATGCGTTGAATCGGCCTGTTATTCATGAGAATGCTGCTACTGCTGCTGCTGCTTCCGCGAGTCCGATTGCGACGACTACAGCTACGGCTATGACGACGATGAGTGCGGATAGTCCTGCTTCTGCTTCTGCGTCTTCGTCGCATGGTGCTGTGAAGTGGGGTGTTAAGGAGTAGACGGTGTTTGCGCGTGCGGTGGTTTCTTTTGAAGTTGGTTCTGCGTGTTCTTTTTCTGGGTTCTCTGGTGCCGTTGTTTTGTCTTTCATCTTCTTGGTTCTGCTCGATTGGTTCGTCGCTCTATCATCCATATCTCTGGAAATCAGAGAATCACTGATGATTTGCGCGGTTACGCTGAGAAGTCTCCGTCATCATTTCGTGCTTCCCCCACCAATGCTCGTTGCCCCTCGTGTTTCCTCTTTTCTACGCTCCGCCTTTGCTCCTTGTCTTGTCCAGATATACGATGTACAGTACAACAGCGACAGCAGCAGTTGTGTGCCTTCTTTTATGCTTCTGCGTCTCCCTTCTTCTCCTTCAGGGGTTGCTTCTGCTCACCTGGCGCAGGACGGAATACAGTCTGCTGGGGATATATGGAATACAGATGAACTCTGGCATTAGGAGAAAAAAAGAAAAAGAGATAAACATAGAGGAGGTTCAGGCTTATGGACACACATGGGGACAGTGAGAATTTGATCTTGTTCGCTTCTCATAGAGATATGTATGGGGTCTGCTTGTTCTTTTGGCGCACACTTCTCTCATCCCCCCTTTCAACCTCCCCCCCTGGTCTCCATCGAGTGTTCTTCACAATGTTTGATAGATATTTAGATCTGTGGAACGAATTAGATGTGGTTTATACATCGTCTTCTTTTTTCTTCTCTCTCTATTCTTACTTTGACAGATGCAATGTACAGTGTAAGTATGACGAGAATGTCGATCATTGAGAATGTTTTAAAACACTCCTCCAATACATATCAGGCACATGGAGAAAGACCCTTGCTTGAGATCAAAGACATCATGAAAGACAGATAGAGGGAGGGTGTAAGACCATGAGTAGCAGTAATTCGTCATGTTCAACCTATAACCAACTCTCACCTTTACATATATCATAACATCATTAGCTTCTCAGCACCTCATCGCTGCAACATCATTATCATTGGTTTCGTCGGACAGAACTGCGATCTGACCCCTACGTTTGTACACGGGGGTGAGACTGCCATCAATTGATTCCTCTTGCTTCCCTGATTACTCTGATACCACTTTCATCTCCATCCAAGGCCATTTGGTCTGGTGGTGGTTGATTCCTCCCATCTGCCCTCCCTCTTTGAGGCCAGATTTCTGGTTTTCTCTCCCACCTCTACACTCGGCACACCCAACCACTGGTCCTACAGACACAAGACTAGCACCATTGAACTCCTAGAGCCTTGGTTTCTGATAAGAAACTAGCTTTTGCTGAAATTCTCAAAACTGGGATTTTTGTATACGTGTGTGCACCCATCTACACACCACACCTCTACCTACCCACGCCGCTTCACTTCACGAATTTTGAAATTTTTCTCGCCGAGCTCTGTGCGTCACGTGACTGCCAAGACCGTAGATTAGATCTTTATCAGATAAGATAAGATAAGATCTGATCTCATCATGGCCCCTTCCAAGCCAGCTACCAAGGCTGCCCCTAAGGCAACCCCTAAGCTAGCCCCTAAGCCAGGCCCCCCATCTGCAACCCCCAAGCCCCCTACGAGCTCCCCTAATACGCTCGCGAGCCTTGCTACGGCCCTTCAAGACCGCTTGCTCGCGCTAGGCGCTGACAGCGCTGTCTACGCTGCTGTCACTGCCTACACAGCTAGTGTCGCCGACTGGGCACTGTCTCAAGTCAACCGTCTGCCCGCTGCTCCTGCCACCGCTACCCCGTCGCCCTCTGCCCCAGCCAGCTATGCCGCCGCACTCCAAGCCCCCCCTAAACCCTTAACAACCAAGGAACAACGGGAACTTCTTGTGCGCCGCCCTAAAGACCCCCAATTCAACGGCTCCGCTGTTCTCGCAGCAGTCAACGCTCGCCTCCGCCCCCTAGTGTCCGGCAGCTTTGTCGGTGTTCGCGCACTACCTAGCGGCGATCTGATCTTCATTGCCGACTCCGCCACCACCAAGACCGCAGCTGAACGCACTGTCTCTCAATGGCAGTCTGCCCTTGGTGACCAAGCTACCGTCCAGCCCAAGCGCTACACCGTGCTCGTACACGGTGTTCGCACCTCCCTTCTGCCCAACAATGCCCAAGCCGCTAACGTCGAGGCATTATACACAGCCAATCCCCGTCTACGCCTCCAAGTGCAAATCCTACGCACCTGGTGGCGCAAACGGGTAGAACGCCTTGGTAAAAAGTACAGCTCTATCCTTCTCGACGTCGCCACCGCTGAACAAGCTAACCGCCTCATCAATGACGGTCTCGCCTTGGACAATCAGATCCACGACGTGGAATTGTTTGACTCCAAATGCCTGCTCACGCGCTGCTTCAACTGTCAAGGCTACAACCACACTGCCACCAACTGCCGCAAACCCCGTGCCTGCCGGTTATGCGGCTCAGCGGCTCACGCCGAAGACAGCTGCCGCCACACCGAAAAGCCCGATCGACACAAGTGCGTTAACTGTCGTGGTAAACATCCTGCAGGCCATACTGACTGCCCTGCACACACCGCGGAACTCAAGCATGTTGCTGCAGCTCGCGCCTCCAAATCCCGCTTCTTCGCTGTTGCTCCCCCTGACCTCCACTCTACCGTCACTCCCGCTAAACGGCTAGCCTCTCCTCCCCCCCTATGCTCACCCCCCACCATCTCGTTCAGCGCTCCTGTGTCTTTCACAGCGACCTCTGCCAGCCCTGAAACCCAGCTGGCGGACGAACTTCAGGCTGCAGACTCGCAGCCCACCGACACCCCTATGACCACTCCCAATCCCTTCCTACCCAATTAATGCCGCTCACCATTGTCCAATACAACACGCGCCGCAGCCCTACTATTCTACGCTCATTTACTGCCTCTCCTGCTAGTCACTCTCTCGACATTGTTGCCATTTCAGAGCCGCCACAACGCACAGACATGCACGCTACCTATCTAGCTCCTAACTGTGCCTTTTATCAGCTCTACCCCCCATCCTTTCATTCCCGTGCTATACTTCTTGTCAACAAGAACTTCCAAGGCACTGATCTCGAGCCCATCTACCGCCCTGATCTCACAGCCCTCCGCTTCACCTACGACCATCGGCGATACTGTGTTATCTCCATCTACAACCCCCCTAGCTCTTACACCGAGCGCTTGTCAACCTCCGCTCTTTACAACCTCGACGACCTGCTAGACGCTGACCACTCCACGCTCCTTCTTGGGGATTTGAATCTCCACCATCCTGACTGGGAGCCCTTACGGACTGCTCCTTCATCATACATGGCGGATGACCTTCTTGACCTCACCCACACCCACACTTTGACGCTCATCACACCCCCCGGCACTCCCACATGGCATGCACGTACCTCGTCTTCCACTATTGACCTCGCTTTTGCGTCACCTGATATCTGCCAACGGCTTCTGTCATTCGGCACCTGCCCGGACCTAGATGTCGGATCTGACCACATCCCACTCTGCACCCGTATTCACACTGCGTCCTCCGCCACTCCCTCGTCCATCCCCCGTCCTCGTTGGAAGCAACTTGATCCTGCAATAGTTGAAGATGGCGCTACGCACCTCTTCATACCACGCCACCTCTCCTCCCACGCAGCTATCGACCAATACGCAAGTTACCTGCAAACCTTCATACACGAACTTGCAACGCTTGCTGTCCCTCTTCCTAAACCGTCTCAGCGTCACCACCCCTGTACCTCGTGGTGGTCACCTGAAATACACGCCGCTATCCGCGCTGAACGGCGTGCGCGTCGCCACGGCTGGGACCCCGACGATATCCGTGCCCTTACTAAACACAAAAAGAAGTTAATTCGTGACTCGTCTCGCGCATGCTGGCGACAAGCCGTTCACCAAGCCCGCGACAGCCCACGGGGTATATGGGGACTGGTGAAATGGGCGCGCACACGCAGCTACATCCCACCAGAACCCCCATTTATGCCCCCTATCCGAGATGCAAATAACACCCTTCAACACCACTTCGACGCCAAAGCACAAGCCCTCCATGCTACCTTCTTTCCTCCCACTCCTGCAGCTACGTGCACTGATATGGATAACGCTATCTATCCCACAGCCCTTCCCGCGCCTGTCCTCACAGACGACGATGTCCATCGCGCCATCTCTCGCACTGCTTCTTGGAAAGCGCCTGGCCCTGACGGTATCCCTACAGGCTTCCTCAAAGCCATGGGAACACCCTTAGTCACCGCGCTACGAGTGTTAACACAAGCCTGCTGAGATTGGCAATATGTTCCCACTGCCTTTCGGTGCTCCATCACCATTGCCCTTCGCAAACCTGGTAAACCTGACTATAGCGTCGGCAAGGCCTGGCGCCCAATAGCCCTCTTGAACACGCTTGGCAAAATCAGCGAATCTGTGACCACCGCAGCCCTGACAGAAATTGCAGAGACTCACCATCTACTTCCCCCTCAACAAATGGGCGCACGTCGCACACGCTCCACCGAAACCGCTATTCAACTCCTGCTATCACAGATCCGCACAGCCTGGCAAGGCCAAGCTGTAGCAACAGTAATGTCCATGGACATGTCTGGAGCGTTTGATCATGTTGTCCACGCACGCTTACTTCACATTCTTCGCACGAAACGTATACCGGAGTCCATCGTGGGATGGATTGCAAGCTTCATCAGCAACCGATCCACCTCTCTGTCGTTTGACAACCGCCAGTCCTCTCCTCTTCCTACGACCACCGGCATACCCCAAGGCTCACCTATCTCCCCCATCCTCTTCTTATTCTACAACTCCGAGCTTGTCGATACTTGCAATCACTTTCATCAACGCATCTCGGCCATCGGATTCGTCGACGATGTGAATATTATTGCATGGGGCCATTCAGCCCGGTCCAACAACATTCTTTTGAAACGTGTTCACGACCGCTGCCTGGAATGGGCTGACAGACATGGTGCTAAATTTGCCCCCGAAAAGTATGAACTCATACACCTCAGCCGCCGCCGCGTCCCATTAGATGCCACGCTCCGCTTAGGAACAGTTGTCATTCAACCGTCTCCCTCAGTGCGAGTGCTTGGTCTTCATCTTGACTCCCGCCTCAACTGGACCGCGCACCGTCAGGCTTTAACTCGCAAACTATCCACACAGTGCCTCGCTTTACACCGGCTCACAGGCTCTACATGGGGACTGCCGTCACGCGAGTGCCGCCGCATCTATATTGCCGTCATCCGACCAGCAATGGCCTATATGGCCTGCGCGTGGTACCAACCCCTCTCCTCCCAACGCAGTCATCTCCTCAAATACCTTCAGACAGTGCAGAACGATTGTCTTCGCGTGGTACTGGGTGCCTTCCGCGCAACCCCCATCACAACGCGCGAAGCTCTAGCCTTCATCCCACCCCTAGATCTGTGGCTAACCCAACAAGTCTACCAATCCCTCTGCCGCTTACAACCGCATCGTCCCCTCTTGGACTCAGCATGCCGCCACATTGCCCACTGCCTCTCCTTTTCTCTGCCGCCATTCCCTGCCATGCTTCACCCAGCCCCTCTCTCACCTTTGTGGCCACACAGCTGGTGCCCTACTTTTCCTTCCGACACAAGCACCTGGGCTCTCAGCAAAAAACAATGCACGGATATCACTCTCCACCTCTGGAAAACACGCTGGAACAGCCAGACGAACCGCTCTCGCGGTTCCATGGCTGTTCACTGGCCTCCTGGCCCTGGCTTCCTATCCATCACGCAATCGCTCAATAAAGCGCGCAGCTCTTTGCTTGTGCAACTCACCACTGGCAAGATCGGCTTACACGGCTTCCTCCATACCATGAAGGTTCCGGACGTGCCGACCCCCCACTGCCCTCACTGCTCCTATCACTATGAAAGCCCTCACCACATCACCGTCTACTGCCCACATTATAACGACCGCCGTCATCGCCTCACGGATAACGGACCTATCGACTTTCATCGCTTACTAACCACCAGCCAAGGAGCTCTTCGCCTTACCACATGGTGGTTTTCCATCCACCGTCTGGAGCAATTTTCACTCGCAAGTCGCCTCGACGACATGCTGACTTAGTACCCCTTGAACCCCCTACCCCAGCCTGTATACACCCCTGTCTCCTTTGTACATAGATGATCTGCACGGCCTCCCCGGCCATATCAGAGTAATGAACTTATTATTTACATATATCATATTCACGTCCTTGCTATGGGACACGGCATGAAGCTATTAACAGCGCACAACTATGTGATAATCGTCACCGCTCAATGGATCATGTCGACGGGGCTGGAGAAAAAAAGAGCAACGTATGACAGATAGTGAAAGACAGTGCGCTGACAAGGTTAAACATGCTTCATCGATTGTGATCTTTTCTTTAAAAAAAAAAAAATCTCCTCGTTCGTTGCACCAGAACGGCATCTAGTGTGCTCTTCTTCTTTTTTTGTCCCTCTTGCGACATGCAGGCTTACAAATGGCCATTTACAGTAGTCTTCCTCGAAAACCCCCTCACTTCTAACTTCTAGTGTGATGCTAGCTAGTTGAACCACCCCCGGTCATGGCTAGTCTCATGCAATGCGATGGTGTAATTGACCGCAGCAAGTTGCACGGGAAACAGTCTGTGAAAGTGACTCAGTATAGCCCAGCCCAGCCCAGTTAGCTCGCACATGGTGCCATTGGTGAAAGTGACCGATGTTGAAGATGTCAATTAGGATGATGATGAAGACACCAGCGAATAGCAAGGATGACTTCTCCCGATCGCATCGCATGGTCATTGCTATCCATCCCTGTTGGACTCGGTGACATGTATCAATCGAATTGAACCAAAACCCTGATCTGATCTCATCATGAACGCTCACCTTCTATCATTCCTGGTCGTGAGATTATTGCTGCAGAGAAGAGAAACATAGAACCCAGCAAGCAATCAAGCCTTTTTTTTCTTTTTGACCCGCAATTCAATTCAACGCAGCGGCATCAGCGGTTCTCATGATATAGTTCCCAGCTTGAGTTCCACCCTGCCTGACCGGCCGTCGCCATGCGCGAGGAGAATTAGTTGATGCCTGTCGTCGTAGAGAGGAGTCGTAGGCAGATGGTCAGTTCATCTGTCTGTTTGTCTCTCTTTTTCTTCTTGTGCCCTTGACACAAATCCTTCTCTTCTGTTAGATCAGAAGTAAACAACTGAATCAGTCAATTGATGCGCATCTCATGAGAGGATCCCGTTATTTGACATCCATCTTGCCCACTGGAAGAGAACGAATAAGAGACGCCTATCAAGAGAAGAAGAGTCCACTTTTCAAGCATCAATTCCCCCTGTCCTGGTCTGGTCTGCCTATCACCTTCAAATTTTTCTTTCTCGAAAATTTCTATGACTGGAGCTCATCCATTTGTTTAAGTTATTTTCTTTTTCTCTCTCATCCTTGACGGCCTTTTCGGTATGATATGCAAGAGGGATTTAATTTGATATATTTTGATATATAGGGTTGATCGGCCTTGTTCAGTTCACCACTTTTACACCTTTTCCCATCATCAGGTCTTATATTCTTATCACCTTGCTTATTTCTCTCTTCATTTTCTCGAACGAAAAAAGAATAGTCCAGTCTCGCTGGCATATTCTTATCTCTTTTTTCCCGCCTACTACCCGGTCCCGGCAAAAGGACCAAGCTTGGTGGAGGGAGTTCCCAAAGGAAGAGAGAGTTTAAATAGAGCTGCCGGTGCGGTTTGCCGATAAGGCATATTATTTTAATTATTTTCCAGAAGACGAGGAAAATAAAAAGCAACAAATCGACTGTCAACCTCAGTTCTTTGCACATCATTAACGACTATATTCTGGCGGTCAGACAGGCGATCATGGAGCCTGAGAAACTAGACATGAAGACCGATGGCGGCGGCAACGATGATACCGTCTATGAGTCTGCGGAAACACTCAGACCGTCTACGAAGCAGAGACAGGTTGAGGTCGAGGATCACATTCCCGATGATGACAGGCCCCTTGAGGAGGAAGAAGAAGGAGATGCTCAGCCATCTGGCGAGGCCCTTCATCAAGTGTAGAGTTCAGCATCGTCGTCACATAAAATGTCGAGGACGAAGATCATCATGATTATGGGCTCTCTAGCTGTGCGTACCTCTTTTGCCTTTTTTTTTTTTTTTTTCGGTCCATCTTGAAATATTCATATTTACTGACATTGAAACATATAGCTAGCTACGTTCCTCGCTGCCCTTGATATGGTATGACCATGCTCCTCCACGCCAGCCTGATACATTTACCACTTCCAAGATCGTCAAGAATTCTAATGCGCTATATATAAAACAGACAATCGTCACAACGGCATTACCTACCATAGTAGAGCATTTCAATGCTTCAGAATCGGATTACAGTTGGATTGGTTCTGCATATCTCCTGGCTTCAGCTGGTGAGCCCTTGTCATCTTGATTCATATACATATATTTCCTGCTAACGAACTCCTAGCATCATCGCCATCATGGGGCAAGATCAGTGATATATTCGGAAGAAAACCCGTGCTACTCGTCGCGAACGTCATTTTCTTGATAGGATCGTTGATATGCGGTGTCAGCAAATCAGCACAGATGTTGATCGGTGGCAGAGTTGTTCAGGGTCTAGGTGGTGGTGGTTTGCTATCTATGGTGAACATCTGCATTGGCGATTTATTCAGCATGAGGTTTGTCTCTCCTACAGACAATCAACTTATATGGATATATTCTAACTTTTCAAACAGAGAACGGAGCATGATGTATGCTGTCATCGGTATCGTCTGGGCTATTGCAGGTGCCATTGGACCCATCTTTGGAGGATTGTTCACGCAATACGCTACCTGGCGGTGGTGTTTCTATATCAATTGTATGTGTCACTTTCACCATCAGTTCACCTCCCTCCAGCTAACATCAACCAGTACCCGCCGATGGCGTTGCACTCGTCTCAATTTTCTTCTTCCTTCGTGTCGAAACACCAAAAACACCCTTCTTCGAAGGCATCTGCGGTATCGACTGGCTAGGTTCCCTAACATCCGCCGGCGGCACAGTCATGTTCCTCCTCGGTCTAAACTACGGCGGCTCCTCGCACCCCTGGGATTCCGCAATCGTCATCTGCCTCATCGTCTTCGGCGTCGTGACATGGGCGCTATTCATGCTCATCCAAGCAAAGATCTCACGATACCCAATCAGCCCCCCCTGGCTATTCACCTCCCAACGCACCCTCGCCCCATTCCTAGTCTGCTTCATCCACGGGTTCAACTATACCGGCATGACCTACTTCCTACCACTCTACTTCCAAACCGTCCTCGGCGCAACCCCGATCCTCTCAGGAGTCTACCTCTTCCCACTCGTCGTCTCAGTCGCCATCGGCTCAATGGCTGTAGGCATCATAATCAGACGCACGGGCCGCTACCGCCCTCCTCTCTGGATCGGTATGGGTTTCTTCGTTCTCGGTCTAGGTCTCTACATCGACCTACCGTACGGCCACAACTGGGCGAAAATCATCATTTACCAAGGTATAGCTGGCTTGGGATCCGGTCCGAATTTCCAGGCACCGTTGATCGCGCTACAGAGTCAGATTCGGCCCGCTGATATAGCCACTGCTACTTCGACGTTTGCGTTCACGAGGAATATGGGCAGTGCGATATCGGTTGTCATCGGGGGTGTTATTTTCCAGAACGTGATGCAGAAGAAGTTGCCGAATATCAGGGACCAATTGCCTGCGGATCTATACAGGCAAGTATCAGAAAGTTCGCCTGGCGCAATGGCTTCTATAGTGCGAGATTTACCTAAAGCCGAATCGCGGGCAATTCAAAGAGTATATAAGGATAGTTTGAAGATGGTGTGGGTGTTTTTCACGGCTATGTGTGCTGTGGGATTCTTGTGTGGATTCCTTATTCGGAAGAAGTCGCTTGATCAGAAGCATAAGGTTACGAAGACGGGATTGGAAGCGCAGAAGGAAGCTAGGGAAGAGAGATTGAGAGAGAAGAGGGAAAAGAAGGCGAGGAAGGAAGGGAAGCAACAGTCTGATGTTGAGAATGGCGTCGTGGAGAAGCATTGAAGTGGTCGAAACATGAATCTATCCACTCCTTTCATTTTTGAGGGGTGGCAGATTTCAGCAACCATCAACTCCTTCGGGGTATGATAGGGGCAATGGGGGCAATATTGAGCAGTTGATGATGACGGCTCAGATTCAACGGCCATCATCATACCTCAAAATTCCTCGTCTTTCATTCTCGACACGACCCTGTCGTCATCCGCCTGAATCAGCGTTCCCTGGCGTCGTACCTACCAACAGGACGTCACAAATACCCCCCTCCATAGCGAACTTTGTGTTTTGATACCCCCCCTGCACATATATATATAAGAGCCCACGATGCTCTCAAATTTTTTACTTAATCATGATTGATGTTTTTTTCATCAATGCTAGTCTAGCAAGTGTATATAGAACACATATAATCATTCCGAATATATAATTGGAAAATGATTGTCGAAAGTTGATGAGGTGCTGCTCTTTTCGAAGGAGAGTCAGGGGTATAGGAGAGAACGGGATTGCTTCACAAATTTGTCAAGGACAGACGGGATCGGAGCTGAGTATGAGAATAATCGGAAGAAAAGATCTCCTGTTGCTGAATGTTGAACATATAACCAAATTGCAAGTTTTCGAAAATAAATCACCTAGAATACATCATGAACAACGAACACATGTTTTCACTTTTCACATCACATCACACAAAAATCCAGCTCAAAAGGAGGGAAAAGGAAGACGATTACATTCTAAGCATTATGTCAGTAAACCGTAGATATTAAGGAAGGTCAAAAGAAAAAGGGGGAAGAGAAAGAAGAAAGGGGGGTGCTTTCATAAAACATACCTCTCAACAGGAGACAGACCCAACAACCTCATACCATTATTCAACACCTGTCTCGCAGCATCATACAACGCCATTCTCGCCTTCTTAACCTCCTCCTCACTACCCACAACCTTCAACACATCATACGACGAGCTCAACGTATGCGTCATGCGGAACAAGTAGGTGAGCACCGTAGATGGCTCGAGAGTCTTGTTGGCATTGTGGACAACGTCGGGCCAC